AGAATCGCTTAAGCCCAAGAGTTGGAGGTTGCTGTGAGCTGTGATGCTACAGCACTCTACCAAGGGCGACATAGTAAGACTCTGTCTCAAAAATAAATAAATAAAATATGTATACATGCAAGAAAAAACTTCCATCTGCAGAATTTGTCTCCATCAGCTTAGTGTTTTCTAGGATTTAGAGAAAGATTCCTTATTGGGTCCCTAGGATGGAATTGCTCCCACCTTGCAGGCTTCCCAGGATTATCTGTGACAGTTGCAAGGACTGTGTTCTATAGATTACTCAGCTCTGTCCTATGGGTCATATTTTTGAGCTTTACAGAAGCCCTATATTGGCTGGGCACCTATAGCTCAATGGTTAGAGCACCAGCCAGGGCTGGTGGGTTCAAACGTGGCCTGGACCTGCTAAACAAAATAAAAAAAAAAAGAAGAAGAAGAAGAAGAAGAAGCAGCCCTGTACTGAAGACTCATGGGCAGTAGTGGCCCTGCTGCTTCAAAGCCTTCTGAGAAGCAAAATACATTTATGTATATGTCAAGTAAACCCCGGGCCTAGCAGTGAGCATCCTAGTCCACATCCATTTCCACCATATTCAGAGTTTGCCTATGTCCTGTGCCATCCCTCTGGTCTTGCTAGAAACCAGGTATCTTGTCTGATTCACCCATTCTACTATGTGAGTAGAGGCTGATGCCATCATTTGTGCCCTCTTCAGTGCTGTATAAATATTTCACAGGGACCTTCTGGAATTGTCCTTAAGGCAAAAAATCTCAGGTATCATTATTCTCATCGTCTAGATTTTACTACTATGTGCCACACAATGACAAGAGCTTTCACAGATCACCTCACTCACTTCTCTCAGCAGCCCAATGTGACAGGAAGATATTTATCCCCATTCTCCTGATGAAACTGAGACTCAAGCAATAAAGTGAGTTGCTCAAAGCCTTTCAGCTTATTAATGACAGAGTTGGGATTTGAACCTACACACTCTTGACTCCCAAAGCCATGATCTTGACCCCTGTGTATATTGCCATAGGAGAAGGCATCTGGGAGTCAGAAAAGCCACGTTAGCCCTCCACCAAGAGGCGACCTGCCTCGTGGGTCAGCGTGGTTAAGGAAAGAAGTGGCATAAGGATTCCTCACGAGTGGCTTGGTGCCTATAGATCAGCAGTTAGGGCGCCAGCCACATACACCCAGGGCTGGCAGTTTGAACCCAGCTTGGGCCAGCCAAACAAAAACAATTACCACAACAGCAAAAAATAGCCGGGTGCTATGGTGGGCACCGCTAGTCCCAGCTACTTGGGAGGCTGAGGCAAGAGAATTGCTGAAGCCCAGGAGTTTGAGGTTGCTGTGAGGTGTGACACCACAGCACTCTACTGAGGGCAACAAAGTGAGACTCTGTCTTAATTAAAAAAAATGATTTCTGATGAGGACCACATTTACTGTCAACTATAGCTTTCCTCAGACGTCAGGTCATTCATCCCCCAACTGCCACTACTGTCAATTCCATTTTGCCAGTGAGAAACTGAGGCTCAGAGAAGGGGTATGACTTGTCTGAAGCCACATAGCTGATGAAAGGCAAAGCCACACCTTGAACCCCATATTCTGCCAAGTTCAGGGGCCTGCCCCGACACCCTGGCTCTCCAGAAGCAGCAAGTCCTGCCCTGCCAAGGACACGCCTGCTTGCTGTGCACAACGCAGGAAATTCCACTAGTTCCTCGGGATGGCTCAGGTGTGGCCAAGCTGAACCCTCCTCAGGGCCCCTCGGGACTTCTCCTGACTCACGCTTTCCTCTTCCTCTCCCCGCTACCCGCAACAACCACCAGGAACCGGGGTCCCCTCCCTTCCTGAAAACGCAGCTCCTCTCGGCTTTGAGGCCACAAGGCTTTTCTCTATACACAGCCCCTTCCATCCACCGCCATCTCACGGCCTGGGAGCCTTGACAGGGAAGCGCTGACTTTGAGGAGGTTAAAGGTGCTGGTGCCTGGCCTTCATCTAACAAATGGGTTGCCGTGAGGGGAGGAACTGTTGTTGTTTTTTCCTGGCCCCAGAAGAGGGGCCTGTCAGGAAGATGTAGAGGCCAGCAGGCCCCCAGCCGTGCCCTGCAGGGTGGCTGACAGACGCCAGCAGCTGCTGGGGGTGCCAGGGCCCTGTGTTCCCAGGGCAGAGCACCCCACCATGCCCCCTCCCTGTTCCCCTCTTGACCTCCCCGCCTACCCCACCATGACCCAGGGCCACCCCTTCCAGGGGCAAAGGGCCTCCCTGGGCCAGATGCAGAGGCGGAGCAGGAATCTGGTTGCAGGCCCGGCCATGGGGAAGGCTCTCCTAGGGAAGCTGACAGGCCAGATCTTCCTCCTGACCTCCGTGTTTTCCTTCCCTGGGCTGCCACAGCACAGGGCACTGCCCCCCAGGACCCCACAACACAAATCTGTGTCTGTACAATTTCCTCAGTGTTTCCCATTCCCAGGTTCCCCTTTTGGAATCATCATAGAGATCCTGGGAAGGAGTCACATTTATCCACCACCTGCTCTGCCCTTCAGGTACAGGATTTCACTTAAAACCCTCAATGTCTGCAGAGTGGCAATTCTGATGCAACCAGGTCAGGCTGCCTGGGTTTGAATCCTTAGGTTCTCCACTTCCCTGCTGTGTGACCTTGCACAGGTTACACAGTCTCTCTGTGTAACTCTCTCTCAGAGTCCTCTTCTGAAAAATAGAGCCAATGAGATTAGCACTTGCCCTAAGAAGCTTTGTAGAGACACCCTTGGAGTTACGTGTATACAGTGCAAAGACCGGTGGGTGGATGTCATCCATGATTCTTTTCCCAGATGAGGAAACAGCATTAGAAAGGCAAAGGGACTAGTTCCAGGCACACAGCTGGGAAGTGGCAGAACTGGGGTTTAAACTCAGGCTTGTCTAACCCCAAATCCTATTCCTCTTTCCCTACCTCTGGTCTGGTCAGATTGAACAGCCAGATGCTTGAGGGTAACTCCTAGTTTGCCACACATTTAGCTGTGTGATTCTGAGCAGCCTGGTCATTTGTCTGAACCTCAGTTTCCTGCCTGCAAAATATACATATAATTCTCACTTTACCTATAACAGGAGAGTTGTGAAGTTCAGAGGGGAATTGTACATGCAACAACTAAGCCCTGGAGAAAGCAGAGAGGGAGTCTGGTTTGTGGCCATGATTCCATCTTCTCTGCTGGTCTACAACACCCTGGCCACGCGCCAGAAGGCATATCTTTTCATAAAGAGTGTGCATGCACACCCCCATCTTTCTATCCCTGGGATGTATATCTGACTGGAGTTCCTGGGTTAAGGGCAGATCAAAGCTTCTATTTCGCACTCCAGGCTCCCTTGCTCTCTTCCTATGTCTGCCAGCTTGGAGCATCCCCTGCACTCTTCCCCTAGGGCCCTGCATCCAGGCAGCAGAGCTAAAACCCACGGGCCCCTTTGTGGTAACCCTGGAGCCCTCGGAACCAGCCAGCCAAGACAATGCTATTAAGGTCCATGCCTGTCTCTGCCCTGATCCTGCTGTTATGGGCAGTGGAAATACTCAGTGGGAGAGGGGTGCTGGCCCCTGTGTGTGATATCACATTATGTTACTCTAAGAAATTACATTAACCTTCCAGACAGACCAGCAGATGATAGCCCTGAAGTGGACTAACTGGCCAGTTCAAATAACCATGTAACGCTTTGCCAAAGTGATGCCTTTGGGGAATGAGAAGCCACCATTCCTATTGCTATGGCCCAGATTCCACGGACACCTCAGTCTCTGGGGGTCGAGAAAGGGAAGCAGGTGGTTAGAGGTTAGGGGGGCAGGGAGCAGGTGGCGGGGAGACCTGAAGAAACTTCAAGGACCTTATTTAAGAGCCTTGCCATTGCAGTGGAGAAAAATGACTTGAAACCTCTCTAGAGAAGAGTGTGGCTAATTGGCATGTAAGTTGGAGGTTAAAGAGCGGAAGGAAGAATCCAATTGTTTTTTTAGGTTACTGAGAAAGTGAGAATGTCACTTTAGGCAGAGAGAAATTCTTTTTTTTCTAAAATGTGTCTTTTCTTTATACAGCAGACCATAGTGGGCCGTGGAGACTTGCAAAAAAGATTTCTTTTAATCCACCTTCCTTTTCTGCAGGCAGCAGTAGAAGGGACTTTAAATCAAATGCAATCACCAAGCTTGTCTCTTACACTTATTCCCCACTTCACTCCCTGGAATTTGGCATTTGATGGATTCTGGATCTGACTTAAGGCTTTTACAAAATCCAGGACTTGGGGAATTTTGTTAACAGTGCAATAAAAAATAACTTCATAGTGTTACAGGAGGCACATTAAAGGCAGCGTGTGTGTGCGTGCATGTGTGTGTGTGTGTGTGTGTGTGCTGCTTTCTCTCTCCTTAAAAAAAAATACAGACAATGTTTCTTTAAAAGTCTCCATCTGCAAATCCCATTAGATGTGCATATAAGGTTTCTGATGATTAATAGTTGCCTGCTAGGGTTTTGGTTGGAGGGGATCTTGTGTGTTCGGGTTAACCCCTCCCTCTCCTCTCTCACATTTCACTTCAGAAATTTGTCACTCTCTCCCCACCGCAGGATTTAAAAGTGTGTCTCAGCAGCCCTGGTCCAGCCCTCTGCAAGCATTTGCTCCAAGTTCTGAGACAGCTCTTCATCAGCTGGTGCGTCTGGGCTGGGACAGTGAAAATGTTTAGTGTCATCGGCGACAAATATATGTACAAGGGACCCCAGTAGGCAGGCTGGTGTGTTGGAGGGGCAGGAGGCAAAGAGTGAAGCCTGACACAGGTGTGTGCACACGCAGAGGGGTGGCCGGCCACATGTGTATGTGCTTTAAGGAGAGACTTTAGTTTTGGTTTTTGTTTTGGTATCTGGGGTGAACTTTCTGTTGAATGTTTTCCCCTCCTATTTAGTTTTTGGGGGTTTTTTGTTTGGTTTTTTTTTTTTTTTTTGCATTTAAAAAAAATTGAATATAAAAAGTGAAAAGAGTCAAATCTTTGAAAGAACAGAGGCGTGCGGTGGACAGCAGATGGATCCTGCAGCCAGCAACTGTATGAGGAGCCCCCAGCCCCCAGCCCCTGTCTGGGGCTGCCTTCGAAACCCCCACTCTGAAGGCAGTGGGGCCTCAGGGCTACCCCACTACCCGCCAACCCCGTTCTCCTTCCACCAGAAACCAGACTTCCCAGCAACAACAGCAGCAGCGTACCCTGACTTCTCGGCCTCCTGCCTGGCGGCCACCCCACACAGCCTGCCCCGGGAGGAGCGCATCTTCACTGAGCAGCACCCTGCCTTCCCTCAGCCCCCCGACTGGCACTTCCCTGTCTCAGAGGCTCGGCACAGGCCTAACTCAGGTCCAGCTGGGGGCTCCAGGGAGATGGGGACCAGCAGCCCAGGCCTGGTGGATCCCACAGGAGGCCCAGGCGAGGACTACGGGGTGCATGGGAGCACTGCCAATGAGACAGAGAAGAAATCATCCAGACGGAAAAAGGAGAGTTCAGGTAGGTGGCTGAGGAGCAGCTGACTACTCCTTTACTGTGTGACCTTGGGAAGGTTGCTCACCCTCTCTGAGCCTAGGAACGCTGACTATGAATTTCAAACAATATTATCTAACCTACTGAACTCAGGAGACTAGACCTCTGAGGTTTCTTCCTCTCTGAATTCTAAGATTCTCTTGTGATGGTGGCTGTATCTGTGTGTCCCCAGTATATCTGGGCCCCAGGAAGAATGTGCCAGCAAGAGAATGAGACAGGATCTTTAAATATTTGGAGGACATGTGGGATGAAACCTCTGGGTGCTAGAGAGGGGCGTTGCTAGATCCAGACTACCTCTGAGTCACACTCCTCACCCCCATGCTCCAGCCAGCTCCAAATGTCTCCGAGGCACAGGGCTCACTCCTCAGGGGAGTCAGCTGAGACCAGGTTCAGAGGGTGAAGACAGAGGCTGAGACCCTGAGTGACACCCAGAGCCAGAACCTGTATCTGTAGATACAGGACCCTAGAAGCCGAGATGCAGCTGGGATGGGAAAAGCAAAAGGGGAGAGAAAGATGGAGGCTGGGATTTGGGGCAAACTGTACACCAGGTATCACTCTATGGAGCTGGGTTGTGCCCTTCTGCTAGCCCTCCTAAGGAATGGAAAACTTAGGGAACGTCTGGGAGGCAGCACTGGGTAGAGCTCAGTCTCAGTCTGGAGTCTCAGAGGCCAGAGAGTGGGGTTGTCCTATTTATTTATAAGATCCTTGTGGTAGGGACCTTTGGTTTCCTCATTTCCCCATGGGGCCTTCCCTGACTTCTCTCACTGCCCCTTCACCTTATGTCTTGTTCCTTGTCACCACCTTTCCCAGAACAAGGCAGTGCCCAAGGCTCCTGCCCCACTGCCCTACTGTCCTCCTGACAGCTGCCCTTGGGGAGCACCTATCAGCTCAATCTATAGAGGCCATTCCTGAGGGGCTAAGCAGCGGCCCAGGAAAGGAGGGTACTGACGAACAAGTGAGAACACCTTGCTTTGCTTTGCTTTCAACTTAGCACAGATTTTCAGAGTATCTGCTCTTTGCCAAACGGAGTATTTGATCTTTGCTGAGGTGAATGAGGTGCTTTCACCCCCTAAAGAGCTCAAACGGAGAGGGAGAAGCCTGTGGAGGCCGGTCAGCAGCGGGGTGGGCTCTGATGGGGAGGTTCAAGGGGATGTGGCTCTTTTGAGTCCCATCGGTTTGGGAGGTGGGGACAGCAGGTTTTATTAGTATGTCAATTCTATCAGTGTGGGAAAGTAGAGACTGAAAGTTTGAGAGGAACACTGCAAAAATGGGGTCAAAATAGTGTGGCTAACTGATCTTTATTTGCCTTGCCTGGGACTTCTCTGGTTTTAGCTTTGAAAATGCCATGTCCCGGGAAAGCCCTCAGTCCTGGGCAAACCAGAAGAGTTGGTCACTCTAAAAGTGAGCTCAAATCTCAGACTTCAAACCCCCAATCCCTTGCCCTTTGGTTAATTTCAAATAGGATCCTCATTTTGAAGTGGTATTTGGCCTCCAAGCTTGAAGCTACCCCTCAAGGAGCTCACAATAGATGATAATAGCCACAGCTGCCCTCCTGGCTACTAGCAGAAGGGCCCTTTAAACCCCGGTGGTTAAATCCCCAGCAGGAAAGTTAACTATTCCTACCCCTGGTTGGAGATTTGCCAAGAAGGAGAAAGAGAAAGAACTGTCAGTGCCTTGGCCTTGGGCTGTGTTCAAGAGCTTTCTCCTTGGCGCCTGTCACTGTGGCTCTTCCATCTCTGCCCACATCTCCCATGGCTACATCCAGACACTTTCCAGGGATCTGAGCGCCAAGGTCATTGGGAAGGGATGAGCAAAGCCAAGAGCCTGCTGGGCTCAGGCAAAATCTTTCAGCAAAACCCAAATGCACTGTCTTTCCTTGTGATGTAAGGCCCATGGCTCTGCACTGTGGAGTTAAGCACACACACCAAGCAGCTGACCACCCCAAGAGCACATGGACACCCTTTGTTGCATGGCCGGCACTTTTCATGAGGTCAGTCTCTGGTCAGGGAAGGGTCCCATCCAGGAGGGGTCCTGGGCTCTCCCTCAGCATCCCCTTGGGAGCAACAGCAGCGGGAGCACAAGGCAGGGCACTGTTCATTCACTCCCATGTTGGTTTCAAACTCCCTCTCTGGAAATTGTTATTGCCCAGTTTCTTGATTTTTTTGTTGAAATTTAACTGAAGGGGAAAGGAAGAAGGCAGGAAAGATCAGCTTCATAAGCGCCCAAAGAAAGGAGAAAGTGAAGAGTAAGGCTGAATACCAACTCCAGGAATCTGGAATTCAGCTCAGAAAAGACAAACCCACAAAGAACCCCTACCCTACTCTGCCAATCCCAAGTCACTGGTTGGATCCTCTGTCTAAAAGGTTTATGTTTTATTCATCATCAATTTTTTTGCATTAATTTTGATTTTTAAAGACATTGCATTATAATAGTATTTATCTTGATTACTGAGGGTTTGGGTGCCCCCTTATATTTGGTGCTCAATGCAAGTGCCTCATATGCCCACCCCTGTCCCATCTGAGCCATCTCTGGAAGGGTAAGCAGCATTGATCAGAAATGTGTTTGCCATGGTGCTTCACAATCAGCACTGCAACTTTTGGCTGCATGACATTGGGGAAGTTCTTAACTTCTTGCAGCCTCTGTTTCCCCAGTTGTAAAATGAAGCAATAGCAATGATAGCACCTTCTATATTTGAAGTCTCCCTGGAGGTTAAATAGAGTGATCCATGATAGTACTGCTAAGCCTGGCTCATAGTAAGAGTTCAGTAATCAGCAGCTACGAATTGTATTAGGCCCGTAATTCCTGAACCTGCCTTCAGAACATAGGGTCTGACAAATATCCTCATATTTATGGGGACAGTAGAATTAAATATTTCAAACACGCAGTCTCAAAAATTCCTGAGTCCAGGGCATCTAAGACTTGGGAACTTCTTGCAATTATTATGGTCCTCATTTGTCATCAGTTAGGCACTTGGGGCTCAAAGATCTGCAGGAGAAGCTGTAGGATGAGCTGCGCCTGGCAAATGGCTCCACACCAGGTGGCAGAGAAGGTTCCACGAACTGAAAGTCTGTTACAAGAGGGAGTCCTCCCCTCTCCCCTTCCTCTGATGGAAGCTGGGGCGATTTGCTCAAATAATGACCTAGAAATCGGGGTCCCTGGCCCTCCTTGATCCTGGAGCATGATGTTATCTTAGAGAACCAGTCCCTGCCACAGGCCAGTAGGGGTTAAAGACCCCTGCTGGGAGGGACAGCTGCGAGGCCACTGTTGTTTTACCCCAAACTGTCATTGCTACTGGTCCTCTTTAATTTATGAGAAGGAGGGATTTCATGGTGATTTCCTGATGGGGTTCAAGGGAAGGTTTTGTGTGATCAGCCGGCTGCAGGTGAGTCGCTCAGTCTGCCTGGGAAGCCCCTGTGCTGGGCCTGCTCTGCTCACACTCACAGTCCTCGCTCTCCCGAGACTCAATCAGAACCCATTTGTCCCATCCTCCTCCAGCTTCAGCACGTGTGTTCCCCAGGGCTCATCTAACCGGCAGATTTCTCCCCTGCAAGATCTGATCTCCACCTGCCCCTACCCAACCATAAACTTTCAAATTTACCAGAGGTTTAAAACTCTCTGCAAATGAGCCCCCGTCTCACCCTCTGAACCCCTGCCACATACAACCTGCATTTTCCTCCTCCTCCCTCCTTACTCTGGCCTAGGTGCTAGCCTTCAGCACCCTTCCCTTCCCCTGCCCTTCTGCCTGTTGAAGTCCTGCTTATTTTAACACCCAGCTCCAAAGCCACCCCTTCCAAGAACATTTTCCTCCTTTTTGAGGAAATTTATGACTATACTTGTACATTGCATCTACCAGTGAAAACTACACTTAAGAAGTGTGAAAGTATAGTCTCCACTAAATCCCATGCTGATTTTTTAACTTCAGCTTGCAACTTCATAAACAAACTCTCCTGAAGTTTCTTGCCATGGGACATCTGCTACTTAAAATCTCTCTCCCTTTTTTTATTCTGGTCAAAAACACATAACATAAAATTTACCATCATAATCATTTTTTAGTGGTACAGTACAGTAGTGTCAACTATATATACATTGTTGTACAATAGATTTCTAGAAGTTTTTCATCTTGTAAAACTGAAACTCTATGTGTGTTCAACAACTCCCCTCTCCCATCCACCAGAGCCTGGCAACCACCATTCTATTTTCCTATGTTTTTTTTTTTCTTTTTTTTTTTTGAGACAAGGTCTCATTCTGTTGCCCAGGGTAGAGTGCCATAGTGTCAGCCTAGCTCACAACAAATTGTGCAGAGAAACTCCTGGGTTCAGGTAATCATCTTGCCTCAGCCTCCTGAGTAGCTGACACTACAGGTGCCCACCATAATGACAGGCTAATTTTTCTATTTTTAGTAGAGATGGAGCTCTTGCTCTTGCTTAGGCTGATCTCAAATTCCTGAGCTCGAGTGATCTTCCCACTCAGCCTTCTAGAGTGCTGGGATTACAGGCGTGAGCCACCACACCCAACCCCATTATATTTTCTATGAGTTTGGCAATTTTACATACTTCATATAAGTGAAATCATAAAGTATTTGTCTTTTTTTTGAGACAGAGTCTCACTATGTCGCCCTCAGTAGAGTGCCATGGTATCACAGCTCATAGCAACCTCAAACTCTTGGGCTTAAGTGATTCTCTTGCCTTAGCCTCCCAAGTAGCTGGGACTACAAGCGCCTGCCACAACGCCTGGCTATTTTTTTGTTGCAGTTGTCATTGTTGTTGTTTTTTTTTGTTGCAGTTTGGCTGGGGCTGGGTTCGAACCCGCCACCCTTGGTACATGGGGCCAGCACCCTACTCACTGAGCCACAGGCACCACCCTAGGTCTTACATTTAGATCTTTAATCCATTTTGAGTTAATTTTTGTACATGGTATGAGGTTAAGAATCCAACTTCATTCTTTTGCATGTGGCTTTCTAGATATCT